CCCCCCGCCCCCTGCGCGCCCGCCCGCCCTCGCCGGCCGCCGCGCGGCCCCCGCGCCCGCCCCCCCGCCCCCACCCCACCCCGCGCCCGCGCCCGCGCGCCCACCCCTCCCCCTCCTCACCGTCTCCGTCGGGCGGGCGGGCGGCGAGCGGCCAGGGCGGGCGGGCGACGGAGCATGCGCAGAGGCCGCCACGGCTGCTACCGCCACCGCCGCCGCCAGGCCGGGCTTCAACACTTCCGGCCGCCGCCGCCGGCGAGCTGGCGCCTTAAAGGGGACGCGTCCCTATTTGCCAGCCCCGCCGAGGATAAACCTCAGCGGTGGGATATGGGCTTTTCGTGAGCAGGGGGTCTTCAGCCCTTGAAAGGCAGTATTGGAAAGGTCGCTAGTGACCCCAGGAACTCTTCTCCCCCCACACACTTTGTAAGGCCTAAGTTAAAGAATAACCTCATCCACAATCAGGGACCAGCCAGGTTTCTCTACTCCTCTGGAGGACTCTATCCCGTTTACCTACCCAAATCCTATTTGATGCAGTATATAGCTTATCAGATCTTCAAGTTATCATCCAATTATCAATTTGAATCAAAAGATCCGGTGGAGGAGGGGAGAAGCATGCCTGTAATCCCCGTGACTCGAGGCTGAGACAGGAAAAGTGCAAATTCCAGGCCATTCTGGGTAGTTTAAGACCCAAAATGAAAAGGGCTGGGATGTACCTCAGTGGCAGGGCACTTGCTCAGTGTGCGCGAGGTCTTGGGTTCAATCCCCAGCACGGCGCGGGGCGGGAATCTGGCTGAGCAAGCCCCTTACGTGTGACTCAGGCTTGTGCGCTAGGGCTTTCCTACTTGTGAGGTTCTGGTTTCAACTCCTGACTTATCTGTTGGAACTTTAACGACTCCGGAGGAGTGACTTGGCAGCTCTAAACCTGTTTTCCAAAAGGCATAATGTGTATGTAACAAATAAATGATACAACAGAAGTGCTCAGGAAAGTTTCTGGGATCAGTAATAATAACTAACAAGTATTAAAACCCCATGACCAGGCTTTGGGGGAGATGCCTTTGTTTAGTATAAGCCTCACAAAAACTGTGTTAAATAGATGAAGTTCTTTTCACTACCATTTAACAGATTAAAACGAAAGAAAAGAAAACATGAGAAGCTAAATGGGATAGCCAGGATGTAAACTTCTTTCATCAGAGTACAGGGTTATAACTACGAAGGTGGTTGCTATTGTTATTAAGAGTAATGAGTAGGAAATCTTCGTGGTGCTCTCTTGTAATCCCAGCAATTTGGGAGGTTGATGCAAGATGATCACAAATTCAAGGTCAGCTCCTCAGTGTTTAAGCAAAACCCTGTCTCAAAACAAAAATAGAGGAGGTGGCTCAGTGGTAAAGTGCCCCTGAGTTCAATTAATTAAAATTAATTAATTAATTAATAATATGTGCAAAGACAAAGAAATGGGAAATGAAGCTGAAGAGGGAAGCAATAGGGATTGAACCTAGAGTTTCCAACATAGTAAGCACACACACTGCCACAGAGCTACATCTCCAGCCCCTTGATTATTTATTTTTATTGTTGACAGGGTATTTCATTGTGTTGCCTATGCTGTCCAGGCTGGCCTCAAACTTGCCATCCTCCTGCCTCAGCCTTCCAAGTAACTGGAATTACAGGCATCTGCCACCATGCCTGGCTCATGGAATTTTGAAATCCTTTCCACCTGCACAGCCAACACCCAGCTCCAGCCCACAGAACTTTAGAAATTTTCTAGTGGTTAGCACCCCACCCACCCCATCCCCAAATGTTATTGTCCTAGGGCAAGTAATCTGTGAAGGAGATAAAAAGTCAAATTATGTTTCCTCCCAGTTAAAAACCCCTCAGGGCCTTATCACTTGCTGTTCCCTCTTCAAGGAGAGTTCCTCCCTCGGGTCTTCAGAGCTGGTTCTCATCTTTCATTCCTCTCATGCCTTCCCTGGTTCCCAGCACAGGTCAGGTCCCACCCAAATAGTTCTCTATTATTGCCATCTCTGGTTCCATCAGGACCTACTATTTCAGGGCAAAGACAGCATCTGAGAGAATTCCTTCCCCAGGTCCTAGTTATTTTCTCTCACATTTCCCTGCTTACCTATATAACAACCTTCACAATTTCTTCCCCCCCCCCTCTTTTTTTTTTTTTTTGTTACTGGTGTTGAGGATTGAACCCAGGACTTTGAACATGCTAGGCAAGGGCTCTACCATTGAGCCACATCCCCAGATCTCCCAGGTTTTATTTTGTTTGTTTTTTTTCAAATGGGGTCTTGCTATATTATCCAGGGTAGTTTACAGCTCCTGGCCTCAAGCTATTTTCCCACCTGAGCCTCCTGAATAGCTGGAATTACAGGCCTGTGACATGGCACCTGGCTAATCCTCACAATTTCAAATCCCCTAGATTATATATTTATCTATTGTACATCAATCTCTATCACCTATCCACACAATGTTTGAAACAGAGTTCATTGCATGCAGAAAAATTAAGAAAGAAAATATGAGACCTCAGGTGTGGTGGTGCATGCCTAATTCCAGCTACATGGGAAACTGTGGCAGGAGGATCACAAGTTCTAGGCCAGCCTAGGCAACTTAGTAAGACCCTGTCTCAAAATTAAATATACACTGGGCACGGTGGCACACGCCTGTAATCCCAAGTCTCAGGAGGCTGAGGCAGGAGAATCTCAAGTTCAAAGCCAGCCTCAGCAACTTAGCAAGGCCCTAAGCAACTCAGTAAGATCCTGTCTCTAAATAAAATTTAACAAGGGCTGGGGATGTGACTCAGTGATTAAGTGCCCCTGGGTTCAATCCCTGGTACCAAAAACGTAAGTAAATAAATATTAAAAGGAGTGGGGATGTAACTCGGTGACATGATGTCCCTGGTTCAATCCCCAGTACTGAAAAAAGAAAAAGGGGGAAAATTATATTATCTGGATGGGGTGCTGGAGGTGTAGAGTTCATGCTTAGCATGCATGGATTAAGTTCAATCCTCAGCAACAAAACAAACAAACCAAACAAACCAAACAAACTGCAAAGAGGAAAGACCAGGAAAAGGAATCTGTGGGAAGACTGCTATGATCATCCAGGCAAGAAAGAGCAAGGGCCTTATGCAACACAAGGTGAGAAAGCACATCAGCAGTAAAATATCTTAAGCTAGAGTGGCAATGACAGAGGGTCCTTCATATTTGGTGCAGACATGGTTCCAAAGTTCTCCACAAGCATGATTTGGAGCTTATTACAAATCCAAACGTGGCAGTGTCAAAATGACACTGATGATTTTACCTGCTTTGCAGTAATACCCCTTGGAGATGTTACTGTCTCATGGTATTCAGCTTCCTTTTCTCTGCAGGCTTTAAAACCTGAGAAGAGCCTGGTGTGGAGGTGTACACCTACAATCCTTCCGACTCAGGAGGCTGAGGCAGGAGGTTCTCAAATTCAAAGATAGCCTCAGCAACTTAGCAGGGCCCTAAGAAACTTAGCAAGACCCTGTCTTAAAAGAAAAAAAATAAATAAACAAAACATGGGTGGCTGGGCGTGTGGCTCAGTGTTTAAGCACCCTTGGGTTCAATCCCTGGGGAAGGAAGGAAGGGAGGAAGGGAAGAAAGGAGGGTAGGAAGGGAAAAGAGGGAGGGTAGGATGGGAAGGGAGGGAAGGGAGGGAGGAAGGGAAAAAGAAAAGGAAGGAGGGATGGAGAGGGGGAGGGAAGAAAGAAAGTCTAAGAAGGGGCTGGGGATGTGGCTCAAGCGGTAACGTGCTCGCCTGGCATGCATGGGGCGCTGGGTTTGATCCTCAGCACCACATAAAAATAAAATAAAGATGTTGTGTCCACCGAAAACTAAAAAATAAATATTAAAAAAAAAGAAAGCCTAAGAAGAACATATCAGCAATGAGCCCATGTGCTTCAGACTTTGTTCAAAATTAGAACCATAGGCATTAGTAACAGACCAGATTTGAGGGGCAGAGGTGAGAAAGGGTCAAGAAAGACCCTAAATGAAGGAACAAAGCACAAAGAGTTGGTTTGGTGAGTTGGGAATTGAGGAAAGGTAGAAATGTGAGTCATTTCAGACTGTGGAGCCTGGGGTGCTGTTGAGACATCCAGATGAAGGTGTCCAGAGGAATTGGATTGACTGGTCTCAGGCAAGAGGCCAAGGCTGGAATTTGGGACCTGTTGTGTAGATGAGACAACCAACCCCAAGAGTGGATGAGGTCACTGAGGAGGGTGTGCAGAGAGGGTGAGGACCAGAGGCTCAAACCTAGGCAGCACCAAGACTTAGGGAACCTGCAGGACACACCCAAAAGTTGTATCCCTAGACAGAGAGGAGACAGGAAGCCCACTGGGCAGCCAGGGAGTTTCCAGAAGGAGGAGAGAACACCAATATTAGAAACTGCAGAGTGCCCTGGCAAGGAAAAGGAGTAGCCATTGGATTTGACAAATGAGAGGTCATTGCTGATCCTTCAGAGGCAGGGTCCCCTGGGGCTGGGGATATAACTTAGTTGGTAGAGTGTATGCCTTGCATGCACTAAGGCCCTGGGTTCAATCCCCAGCACCAAAAAAACAAACCAAACAGAAGTGGGGTCCCCTCTGAGGTTGAAGAGGATGCCAGAGTATAAAGGATCAGGTAGGAAATAGAAAAAGTGCAGAGTGAGTGGATATAACTCTTTAATTTTTTTTTTTTTTTTTTTTTTTTGCTACAGTTGGGATGGTAGTGCAAGTGCAAGACTATAATCCCAGTGACACAGGAGGGTGAGGCAGGAGGATCACAAGTTCCGGGCCAGCCTTAGCAACTTAGTGAGACCCTGCATCAAAATAAAAAAGGGCTAGGGATGTGGCTCAGTGGTAAATTGCCCCTAAGTTAAATCCCCAGCACCAAGAAAATTGCAAAATACATGAAAGGATGCTATTTCATTTTAATCTTTTTTCCGTGATTTTTTTTTTGTATCGGGGATTGGACTCAGGGGTGTTCAACCACTAAGCCACTTTTGGTTTGTTTTTGGTGCTGGGGATTGAACCCAGGGCCTTGTGCATGCAAGGCAAGCACTCTGCCAACTGAGCTATATCCCCAGCCCTTTTTGTGTGTGTGTTTATTATTTAGAGACAGGGTCTCACTGAGTTGCTTAGTGCCTACCTATTGCTGAGGCTGGCTTTGAACTTGTGATCCTTCTGTCTCAGCCTCCTGAGTCACTGGGATCAGAGACATGTGCCACCAGGGCTGGCC